CTGGTACCATGAGATGCAGAGCCAGTCTTAAAAATGGGACTACAAAGCAGTGTCCACGACATGCGAATGTGGAGAAGAGCAAACCACAGACCACTTACTACAATGCAGCCTGAGCCCTGCCACATGCACAATGGAGGACCTTCTTGCAGCAACACCAGAGGCACTCCAAGTGGCCAGCTTCTGGTCAAAGGAAATTTAGTACAATGCCAAGTTTTTAACTTTGTTTGTGGTTTTTTATGCATTATACCTATATTCTGACATGATAAATAATCCAGCACTAATTTCAGGTCCAGCCCAATGTATTCCATATTAAAATAACCATGTGTTGGGTAAAATATGTAGAAAAAGATACAAAGTGCCTATCTCTAAAATAAAGATGAATACAATGCCTTGCCAGAATTTTTTTTTAAACAGAAACTGCAGTATGGTCAGATTTAATTCTACTAATATTTGAACACAGAAAGCTAAGTGTCAAACACTATCACTTGATATTGACATCAAAGTTAAATAAGTGACTCCAAATAAACATGTCTGATCTGTAGAGCCTCAGAGGAAGAGATAATTGAAAAGTCTGTTCTATTAACTATACAGTATCTGACAATTCCCCTCTCATGTGTTATATGTTACAAACTCTTTAAATTAGCTATTTAAATCAAAGGAAATAAAATTATCATATAGTTGGAAGAGTCCTCATGGGCCATCCAGTCCAAACCCCTGCCAAGAAACAGGAAAAACACATTTAAAGAACCCCCAACAGATGGCCATCCAGCTTCTGTTTAAAACCCTCCAACAGAAGGAGACTCCACCACAGTGGTTCTCAACCTGGGGTCCCCAGATGTTTTTGGCCTACAACTCCCAGAAATCCCAGCCAGTTTACCAGCTGTTAGGATTTCTGGGAGTTGAACGCGAAAACACCTGGGGACCCCAGGTTGAGAACCACTGGTCTACCATATGAACCACTTATATATTAGGAGTTGCTACAAGAACATTGTTATCCTCAAGCTCTTTAATACTTTAATACAGCAATTAATCATTTCTCCTTAATACTGTGAATAGAAATGAATAGTGAAATCACCATCAGCTTATAAGCAAATGTTTTTGTCATCAAGCAAATTTCATCTTTCTGCCATTTGAGTCTGTGAGAGGGAGAGAGTGTGGGGGGATAATTATGTGAGTTAGAAGATCCCTGGTTCAATTAACTCTACAGCTAAAAATTCACCAGGTGTGGCCTTAGATTCATTAGTGGTCTTGTGTAGTCTTCGATAAGACAGACTATCTCAAGCTTCGTGCATATGTAATATACATATGTAGTCTGATACCTGGGAGAATAACATAGTAACTTCCACAGCAGAAACATGCAACCGATTCATGCATTTTTAAATTAAATGAGAAGTCTGGCAGCATGAAGATGGCCTGCTGACTGAGCTTTCCCTGGCTGTTTTCTGCTCTGGTTTAGCAATCGTGGTGCTATTTTCCCAGATATCAGGTAACAGCAGGTTCATCTAAGACATAATCATGTTTCAACATTGAAAAACAACTTTAAATAACAGCTCATTGTTTTCAGTTCTAAACAAGAAGCATCTCACAATGCCAAATCCAATAGCTCTCTACCAGTGTTGGCACTAAATTAGGCAAGCTTTTTCTTTTTCAAGGTAAAAGCTGTATCTTTAGATTTTGGATGATGAAAGCAGAGGCTGTATAATTCAGTTAATAAACTATATTCAAAGTGTTTTAATACTAAGCACACCAAGATAATATGTGGCAAACTATATATGTGGCATTCCAGGTAAGCTGAAGAATCAGAAATGAAATAATGGAAGTTCATCCATCTTACTCGGACAACAAGGGATTGCCTAAGTAGTAGTAAGTAGCACCTGAATGAGTGCTTGTTGTGAAACTGCCTGAGTCCTCCTCCCCCCCCTTCCCGCCCCGCCGCTGCTGGGGTGAGAAGGACAGGGTACAAACGTTTTAAATAAAGTAACTTGAGTAACTTGACAAAGTAAAAAACATTTAATTACTTTTTTGCTTCAAAAACACTGTACTAATTAGCTCAGAGATGGACAAGCAAGTTACGTGAAGAAATCACTCGTCATTTTGAAGTCTGAAGTACAACATTCATATTACGTTTCCTCAGCACTAGACACAAATTGAATCATTTACAATTATTATTGATGCCTTTTCCATTCTCTATCTTTTAAGAGATTCTATTGCCTAGGGATGGCTGTTTTACCTCTCACTTTGCATGTCCTTCAGAAGCTCATCTTGCATGCCCTTCATAACTTGGCCTTAAATCTCTCCCCATAGACAATTGGATTGAATAGACAGCACCTCATTGACCCTTGATTAAAATAAAAACGCTTTAGTTGGAAATTTTCAAACCCTAGTCTCTTCTAGACAAAGTGCAGACCTACATCCAATATTCTTCTGTTCATGCAGCTGTTTTTTCCCCATTCAGGTACACTAGAGATGAAGAACAGCTGAAAAGAACACATAATGGCTTCAACAAAAGCTTCCTCTCAATCTCTGATCTTTGTAGAGGACTATTTATGCAGAAGGAATGCAACCCAGATAAAGGGCAGGATGAAAGAAGCTTTGCTATAAAGTAAGGAGACCCATATGAGGGAATCTGTACTGTATATGTGTTCTGATGTACTTAACGGGCACTAGGAGATGATATATGTTTGGTGATATATATCCATATAAACACAGACATATATTTGCCTTAGATCTCCTCCAATTATCTCCCGCTCTTCAAAATCGCTTCCTTCTCCCACACACCTCCTTCTTTTGACAGATTAAAGATAAAAGAGAACCTGGGTTCACACTATAGCTCAGGGATATGCCATAAGCTTCTGGATGTGCCATAAGCTCCTTTCTCTCCAGTGTAGCTGAGAGCATCCACACATCCCACATATATTATTTCTGGGCACCAACCGCAATTGCAAAACACACACACACACACACACTGAAATCTCTTAACGAATAGGAAAGATTAAGGCTCTTCATGCAAAAAGACAAATATCTGAAGCAGCGCAGAACCTGAGCCCATGCTGGGACACTGATTCATCTGTGAGTCAGACAAAAGAGTCCTGCCTACTGCATCAGCAATGTAACCTTGCTGCAACTGCAGAATCTCTTCCAGATACAGTCCAGGTCCGGCATGGTGAGCTTTAGGAGAGCTGCTATAATTATACCCCAAAGAAAACCAACCACTGCAAGCTCCAAGAAACCAGCCACCTACTCAAAATTGCGTAGCTGTGCACAACAGAGTCACATTGCTATTTGGACAGAGTGCTATTTTGCATGTCCTCCAGATTTAGGCAAGCAGTAGGTGTAAAATAACAGGGAACGGTCTAAGTAAAGCTGGGAAATAAAATCACAAGTCTTTTTCTAAAGTGCTTAAGATGAACTCATGTTTAAATCCTGATACATAGATAAGTAGGGAAATTCAGGTGCAGCATGTTGTAGAAGTTTCAGTGTTGGACTCTAGAAACCAGGGTTTAAATCCTCACTCAATCATGGAGATCCACTGGGTGATCTTGGTAAGGTCACACTCTCTTAAAACACTTTAGCCTCAGAGGAAGGCAAAGGCAAATCCCCTCTGAACAAATCTTGCCAAGAAGTCCCCATGACAGCTTCACCTGTCGCCATACGCAGGAAATGACTTGAAGTCACACAACAACAGAAAATTGTACGTGGTTCTTCCCAACACTGGAATCAAGATTATTTGAAAATCTAAACAATGAATATATGAAAAAGATATCTGCACCCATCAAACAATAATTCTCTTATCAGGGAAGATTTTGAGCTTGTAGTGGTAAGCTCCCACAACTCTAGTCATCAGGACCCTGAACCACTCAGATCTGGTTCTGTATATAATGGATGCCTTCTAGACTCAAATAGAATCATAGAGTTGGAAGAGACCTCTTGGGCCATCCAGTCCAACCCCACGCCAAGAAGCAGAAAATCATATTCAAAGCATCCCCAACAGATGGCCATCCAGCCTCTGTTTAAAAGTCTCCAAATTTTTATTTATTTATTTATTTATTTGTGATATTTGTATTCCACCCTTCTCAACTCCGAAGGGGACTCAGGGTGGTTCATAGTGTTGGCAACAATTCAATGCCATCGATAAAGTAGGAGCCTCCGCCATACTCTGTGGCAGAGAGTTCCACTGCTGAACAGCTCTCACAGTTAGGAAGTTCTTCCTCATACTAGCCTGACTGCTGATAGTGGACTGTAGGACTTCAAAAAGGTTAGTATGGGTAACTGTTTTCAAATCTCAGTGGAAATACTCCAGTCTTTAGATAAAGTGATGATTCTAAGACCCCCCACTAAGTCTGAACATCTTATCACATATCTTACATATTTTCACCACACCTTTTGAATAGATTTCAGCCTCTGCTTTTTATTCTAGTCACACTAGACCTGGATTTTAGCTGCCTCTGATTCCATCTTTCTATTATCCTGCCTTCTTTTTTGCTTGATCAAATAGCTATCCAACCAATAAGTATAAGCAGTTTTGAGCCCCCCTGTCAGAGGGTTCCAAATATTATTTTATTGTAACACTGTATCCCCCTATTTGTGTTATGAAATTGTGTGTATGCAGTAAAATACAAAACGGAAGATGAAGGTCTTTATTCTGTCAGAATGCATATTTTGGAAATCTCTCTGGACCTTCTCCATAGTTAATATGCCTGACATCGTACCAATCATTCTGACATTACAAAGAGACATGCTAGCAGGCATATTTTAGCAATTTTCCATGAATATTTTCAAACACAACTCAAGAAATGTAGCACAGTAGTTTCATATTCTTTATAATTAAAGACAGCGCAACAGGTCCTTGCTTCAGCTACCATTCTCTTCTGGCACACTGTGACAGCATCATTGTTTGGACACAGCTGCACACAAATTGGCAGCGAGCCAAAATCAGTCATTTCTTCACCTGTCACTTTTTCTACATGAAATTGACAAGAGGTAAAGGCATGTCTCCTTACCTTCCACAATGAGCCACACTTGCTGAGATTCCTCCTTCTTACCATTGGTCTCAATTTGGCACCAATATTTCCCAGAATCTGTCCGGTCTACAGACTTCAAGCTAAAGAATTCAGAGAGAACAGGGAATTATGATATTTTATAAAATATTGTACACAAATAGCAGCTATCACAAAGCATCCCAAAATTATGCCATGATCAACAAATGTACCATCACTTTGAACTATTCCTGAAATGGAAGAGCCACTCTGACACATTTTCCTTGTCAACATTCATATATGCACTGTATTTTGAAGACAGCCATACTGACACACAAAGCTGTCCTATACTATTAGTACTAGATCATTTTATACCTAAAGGAGTGCTTCTTCCCTTATCAAGCTGCCTATAAGCCATTTTTCAGATGCCCCCTTTTATCACAAACACAGTATTCAACAAAAATGGGCATCCTAGGTGTTGGGTTTTCAGCTGCAAAGGCCCTAAGGAGATTCATCTACTATAAGTATTGCTCTTCTTTTAGTACCCAGAAAAACCTTGTTTATTTACTTGAGCAATTCAGTTTGCTTTAAGTTGATTTTGTGCATTACATGTATTATTTTATTATCGTGTCCTTGCCTGTCTCTTTAAAAAAAACTACAAAATCTGACTCACTACTTTGTTTTGATGAGCAGCAGTTCTCCTTGGTCCTAAAGAAAGGCATGTCTCTGCCTTGATTATTTTCTGTCTAAGATTATGTTACTGTGACCTAGCAGCCTGTGTGTATGAAAGAAAGAGAGAGATCATTATTATTAATGCATGGCTGTAAGGGTATAGCTTTTCATATAATGAAAGTGACTGTTTCCTAGTATTTATTGTGACACTTGATAATGTGACCCCATGGTTGTCACTTTTCACTTGTATATGGCAATAAAGTAAAAGCCATATTTTGAGATCCTTTCAGCTAAAATGATTGTAGGACTAGGATGCAGAAACATAGGGGATTTATTTAGTGGAAGATATCAGGCAGTCATTGCAAATGACATGGCACTATGTAAGCGATAGAAAGTATGTTCTGCAGGAATTTTTTTTTTTCATGTCAGGAAACTGCAAATTGCTTTTGGTGTGAGAGAATTGGCTGTCTGCCAGAACATTGCCCAGGGGACACTGGATGCTCTACCATCCTGTGGGAGGCTTCTCACATGTTCCTGCATGAGAAGCTGGAGCTGACAGATGGGAGCTAACCCCGCTCCCTGAATTTGAACTACCGACCTTTCGGTCAGCAATCCTGCCGGCAAAAGGGTTTAACCCAAGAATGGGAAAACTTTAGCCCTCCAGGTGTTTTGGACTTCAACTCCTACAATTCCTAACAGTCTGTCAGCTGTTAGGAATTGTGGGAGTTGAAGTCCAAAGCACCTGGAGGGCCGAAGTTTGCCCATGCCTGGGTTAACCCATTGCATCACTGCAGGATGGAGGATAAAAGATGCACTGCTCTTCTCAAGGAAGCTGAGAAAAATAGTAGAAGTATGTGTTCATGCAAATTAATAAACCAAGTATCATGCAGTTCCTGCTTGAAGAATGTCAGAAAGTTATCTAACAATCTATTCATTCTCATATTGGAGATTGTCAGACCCCAACCTAGAGAGTCTGAAAACATGCAACGAAAGCAAATGTGTTCATTTGAAGCAACTTAAAAGGGTGGAGAAAACATTCCCTCATAAAACTGATGACTCAAGTGTTTAATATCTTCTTTGACCTGACTCAGCATAGTGTAAACTTAGCAAGGCTTCTAATGAACTTTCCTTTTGTAATTAAAGAGAAAATGCACACACGTCAAAAACATATCCACACAAAAATGGATTTATCATTGGGAGAGGTGTTTGGGGTATTAATTGAAAAGTATTGTTATAATAATTTGTAAGTTATAAGAAAAGCAGGTATTTATAAGGCTGAGAAACACTGCACAGCTCCATATAGTAGCAGATGCAAGACAAAGTCAGAACCTATCGATTTCTAACTGTGTCAGATCACAGCGGTATAACCAATGGAAGCAAGCATGATTCAGACTCCGGGTGGAAGTGTTACCAGGTCTATCTATCTATCTACTATCTATCGTGTTGCATTACACCATACCCACTGGTTATGATGCAGTAATGTATTATTTTTCTCCAATGCAAACAGTTACAGAAGCACAAATTGATTTTTTTGCTGGAAATCCAAGATTCTCAAGAAACTATTAACTCAAAAGGCCTCAAGGGAGGGGTGTTTAAGAACAGAGAATCCTTGTATACATCTGGCAATTGCTTTTGCAGCCACTGTACTCACAAACAGTACCAAGGAAAAAGATAATTCCCCCCTTCCCCATACACATCATAAAGTACATATCCCAAGGAAAAAACAACCCTTGAAGATGGCGCCTTATATTGATCAGTCCAAGTGCAGCACGCTTGGCTTGTTCTAAATGATGGAGTAAATATTCTGGAACGTCTCTCTTGTGGGGGATGACTAAGGTTTGGTTTGTATGACACATTCTTCCCTCCCAACAGGATTCAAATCTGCCCTCAGAAGTCTGATTTTAATTAGGGCATCTCTTTTTAGTCAGAGACAAGGAAAAAAGGGACATGTTTTGAATAAATTAGTGCAAGGAATGTTTCAATGCATCTCTAATTCTAACCTTCCCATTTTGCTGCAGAGCATGTCTGAACAAACAGGAAGAAGCTTTCTTTTTTCCTTTGCCTTCAGAAAAGATATTACAAACTGAGAGGATTGGAAGAAGAAAATCTCCTGAATAAGAATGACAGAAACAGCAAACAGAAAACAGTAGTGGTGACTGCAATGCACGTTGCCAGTTCTGCTTAACCCTGGTCTTATGGAATCACACCGAGGAATTAAAGGTCTGAATACTCCCTTGAGTTACTTGTGCTAATCATGCCAACTAGGTGTGATAAAATAGTAGGTTGATTGATTCAGAGGCCAATTTACCAAAAGCTGTTGTACAGAAGACCTGAATGTTTTGTATCAAATATGCATTGCATATTAATCATGTCAGTTCATAGAATCATAGAATCATAGAATCATAGACTCAAAGAGTTGGGAGAGACCTCATGGGCCATCCAGTCCAACCCCCTGCCAAGAAGCAGGAATATTGCATTCAAATCACCCCTGACAGATGGCCATCCAGCCTCTGTTTAAAAGCTTCCAAAGAAGGAGCCTCCACCACACTCCGGGGCAGAGAGTTCCACTGCTGAACGGCTCTCACAGTCAAAACGTTCTTCCTCATGTTCAGATGGAATCTTCTCTCTTGTAGTTTGAAGCCATTGTTCCGTGTCCTAGTCTCCAGGGAAGCAGAAAACAAGCTTGCTCCCTCCTCCCTGTGGCTTCCTCTCACATATTTATACATGGCTATCATATCTCCTCTCAGCCTTCTCTTCTTCAGGCTAAACATGCACAGCTCCTTAAGCCGCTCCTCATAGGGCTTGTTCTCCAGACCCTTTATCATTTTAGTCGCTCTCCTCTGGACACATTCCAGCTTGTCAATATCTCTCTTGAATTGTGGTGCCCAGAATTGGACACAATATTCCAGATGTGGTCTAACCAAAACAGAATAGAGGGGTAGCATTACTTCCCTAGATCTAGACACTATGCTCCTATTGATGCAGGCCAAAATCCCATTGGCTTTTTTTGCCGCCACATCACATTGTTGGCTCAGTTATTTTATTGTTCCTGTTTTTCACTTTAAAAAATATTAAAAAAATACAAATATGAGACATAAATAAATAAATATGGGGGTAGGAATTTTGCACTTTTCGTGACAAATCATCTTGTGAAGCTTTTGTGGCTTCAGGTCACTTTGCCCATTAATTTGAAATGATCCCTTATGCTACATCCAAGTTTATCATGTAGGAAACATAATTCTCAGATCAGAAAATTATTTATTTGGTTTACTTTTATGGCTCCTTGTACTTTTTTTTTCATGTCAGGAGCAACTTGAGAAACTGCAAGGATCCTCCAGTAGCGCAATGGGTTAAGCCCTTGTGCCGGCATGGCTGCTGACCGGCAGGTCAGCAATTCGAATTCAGGCAGAGCGGGTTGAGCTCCCTCTTGTCAGTTCCAGCTCCCCATGATGGGACATGAGAGAAGCCTCCCACAAGAATGGTAAAACATCAAACAACCGGGTGTCACCTGGGTAACATCCTTGCAGACAGCCATTTCTCTCACACCAGAAGCAACCTTGTAAATGCATCACAATTATTTTCAAAATATATTCCACTTATGTCTTTGACTCTAGATATAGACCCTTGTTGATTTCAGTTCAGATAACATAATAATAGAATAACAGAATTGGAAGAGACCACATAGGCCATTTAGTTCAACCTCCTGTCATGCAGGAAAAGCACTACTTTAAGAAACAGTCAAAAACCATTTTACGATTGCCTATGTAGGAATTCATCAGAGCATGAGAAGTTTATTGAGGTGCCCTCCCAATAGCATACCAGACCTTTCTTATTTTTTCTAGACAAAGTCCCTGCCTAAATTTTTTTTTGCAAATTACACATGAAACATTGGGATAGAAGCATAAAATTGGAAGGGCCCCCATAATGTTTTTAGCCTGACCTCACAGTGTGTGAATCCACAGCTGAAGTATCCCTGACAGAGGACCACCCAATCTCTGATTAAAAGCCTATTGTAAAGAAGACTCCTTTTATGGTAGCCTATTCCATGGCCAAACAGATCATACCAAGTCCTCTTCTGAGAGGAGTGGGATATAAATATAGTACATAAATAAATAAGTAAATAAATATTGTTAGGAAGGAAATATAATGAACTGAAATAACTGAAATACAATGGTTTGGGTTGTACATTACAGAGCAATAGCAAACATGGCCATCTTCCACAAGACAGCCTTTCAGATATTTAAATATAGTCATCATATCACTTCCCAGTCGTCTTTTCTCTTGGCTTTATTTTTTCCCCCCGGAACCTTAGTATTGTAACTTTAATTTTCTTATGGCAGTTTCTACTCTATGGACGTTTGCTTCCATAGAGATTCTCTGAGCTTCCTATTGTTCAAATTCATCTCTATTGCTTATATGCCTTCAGAAATCATTATACAGTGTTGTGTATCGTTAATCTGAAATGCTTGGGATGTGTTTAGGATTGCAGTCCCCCCCCCCGCCCCCCGCCAGATATTGAGATATTTGCATAATGAGGTATTTTGGCAATGTCATGCAATTAATTTATGTTTCATATGCATCTTATGCACATAGCCTGAAGATAATTCTATACATAATCATAATTTTGTGCATGAAACAAAATTTGTGTATGCCTAGCACTATTTCCTCAATTTTATTTCTTCCTGAAATTTGAATTGTTCCCCGAATTAAACCCAGCCTGTATGTCAGTGCTGTCCCAAGATATACTATGTTCATTTCCTGCACAGTACCAAGATTCATTTTGTCCCCGAGTCTGGGATTACTAAGACCCTCTGAGGAATTTCCCTTATATCTGCACTCAAGGCATGCTATCAGTTTTCTCCAACCTCCTTTACTTCCAACTAGTTTTTAAGATAGAGAGCCTGAAGACAGTTAGATGTCAAATTAAACATTAATTACCCAAGGGATTTCAACTGTACTTAAAAGACACTGTTCGTTCATATTATTGAATGGTAGAAGAACCAGAGATTTTGCTACTCAAATACACTTCACCAGGGGTGGGGAACCTTTGACCTTCCAGATGCTGCTGGTTATAATCTCTATCATTTCTGGCTATTAGCCATGCTAGGTGGGGGTGATGGGAGCTGGAATATATTAGCATCTGGAAGGCTACATGTTCTCCACTCCTGTTGAACAACAAACCTCCCAAAGTACAACAAATACAATGCATTGCTGGGTCTTTGCAATTGGGGTGCCTGCCCTCTCTTCCTTAAGAATTAAGTATGATGAAGACACTTAGCTGTAATGACAGGAAGGCTAACTTTTATTGAGTTGTGCTAATGTTTACCATCTGTATTGCTGAATTGCATGCAATAATTGTAATAGAGAAATATTTTTAATGTGTGTATTTAATTCTTATTGTAAATTTGTTTTTTATAGGTTATTATTTTACATCTGCATATTGTTTTGTATGGTCTTTTATATAATGTAAGTGGCTTTGGGTTCCATTTAGGGAGAAAGGCGGGATATAAATAAAGAATTATTATTATTTGAAACATCATAAGATGAGTCCACAGCAGACACGTCGGACACTTCCCAAGTGTCTAGGACTGTGTGATGTATCGGCGAATAATGCATGCAGATCCCAATTATTATTATCATTATTATTATTATTATTATTTTGATAAACCAAAGATACAATATTTTTCATGAACTTGGTAGGTAATTAGCCTCTTGGCAATTTCAGAAATAGCTCTACCCCTTTTGGTGTCTTTAACCTTCTAGAACATGAGAAATATGAGTGCAAAAGATATTATGATTAGATGGTTTACCAAATAGTTGCTTTTATGCTCTTGTTTAATAGATAGAGACATGGTTTACTGTTATTCAGGAAGTTCCTGATTTTAGTCTTGCTTCTGCCATGAGCTGACTACATGGTCTAAGACAAGCTATGTAGCCCCAGCCCATTCATCTGCAGCACTAAGGACAATAATATTGATTACTGAGTAGTTGTAGGTTATATAATTAGATAATGCAAATAGAATGGTTTATTATTTAAAAATATGGGGAAAACTTCAAAAAATTTCTTTGTATTCCTAGACATCTTGGCATGAAAGGTTCAGGGGCCATTAATTTTAAAGAATGTAAGAAAGCTTTAGGTGAAATACGAAAGGTGATGTTGCAAGTCTGGACAGCTCACTGGCAGAAATGGACTGAGTTATGATCTATTAGTTTAACCCAATTCACCGAGCTGTTGTGAGTATAAAAAGTTGGGGATATATCGCAATCACATAATAACTGCACTCTCATTTTGGGGTCCTGATTTTGGTATTTGAGAATCCATCACCTAATAGTTGCATCCCTGCCCATGCACCTGCCCCTCGGAGTAGCTCCTTTAGCTCCGAAGGGCAGGTGCATTGGTGGGAGAAGGCATGAGAGCTAGGAGGCTCCCCTTGGTTGCCACAAGCTGAGCAAGGCTTTCTAGGTCTGGTAGGCAGGCATCAACAAGCGAGGCCTATGGGGCTTCCCTTGGCTGCCAGCCAGAGGTAGTCCCATAGGTATCTCCAATTTGTACTGCAAAATAGTTGAACCCCCCTTTTTTTGAAGGGGAAAATGTGACTATTATGTGGTGAAATATAGTATGTCATCCAGTACTTGTGGAAGGAAGGCAGGTTATGTTAAATATAATAAGAATAACAATACAACCTGGCATTCTGTATCATATATTCAACTCCTACCTGAGGAAACCAATCCAGTGTTCTTCATCTACTGGAATGTACACCTGGTCTACACTTTGTACCACAGCTCCATCCTTGATCCATAGCATCTCTGGATCTTCCATTCCCTCGAGGCTGCAATTCAGTTTTACTGGCTGCCCCTGAGACACCTTCAGTTTGATTGGCATTCCAGTAACCTTCGTTCCTGAAAGAAAACAACCTCCCTCCTCTCCACACCCACAAGAGGGGAGCGAGGAGGTTGGGAGTGCAGCAAATTAATCAAGGTTAGTGGGTGGCCTGCAGTGAAATACAGTGAAAGAACAAAGTGTACAGCCACCTCAACACCTCATTGGGGCTTTATCATATTTTTGGAATGATTATAGGATGGGAGCAACACATTTCCCATTACAAAATAACGGGAGTGGCTAAATCCATGCAGGGCTTGAATCAGTAACATGCCAATTTGAAGATCAACAGGGTGAAATTCATACAGTAGCAATTTGTCAGTGGCAGATGCTGAGGACATCCTTGCAACAGAAACAGAACCTTGGAAATGCTTTTGAATGTGTTATTCTGGGAACAGTGGTACAATGCCCAAAATTTCCTCTAGATATTTAGCTGCCAGGTAATGTTCACGCACTCTTGGGAAATTATGCTTTTAATCTATACCTATAAAAGGAGCTGACATTTTAGACAGTCATTAATGTAGGGGGTTCCTCAATATTCACTCTCTTTTCCTTGAAAAAAGCTTCTAAACTATATGAAACCCAATGGAAATAAAGACTGATTGAGAGCTTTGCTGTGAAAAGAAACTAACCATTTACAAAGCATACTTTTCCCTTATTTCTAAATGCGGTGTGGGATTACTTCAGTCAGTAGCCAGGCAACCCTGAAACCCAAGACGCAGTGCCAAATTCTGATCTCATTCTCCACTTGGATGGGTGTCACTAATTCATTTGCAGGTGGTGGTGTTTCTCAGATTTTCTTTGGGGTAAATGCACTCAGTATGAGCTTCAGGGCCTTCAAATGTGTTGAAGTGGGTGGTTGGAGTGCAACTGTCTCCATAAGAAGCGAAATGCTTGGAAGATGTTCGCATGTATCAATACTAAAGCAGGTGGCATGTGAACTTGGAAGAAGGATGAACATATGTGGCAAGGAAGAAAATAAACAAGATGGCAAAGTGGAGTAAAATAGAATATAAAGACATAAGGGCTAGTTTCAACCTTCCTTAATTATTCCTGTAGTAGCGACCTGGAAATATTTTCAGCAAAGTGGGAAGAACCAACAGTTAACACTGATGGTTTCCATTATAGGATTGGCCATTTGGTGTGATAGCCTTGTCCAACATTGATTCTGCAAATCCCTCTGAGCATGCTAATAAGAAGAGGGATATAAAATTAGCTACATATAAACATAGTTTAAATATTATACACAATGATGTTTTACATAATCCTCCAATAAACTTATTGTGGCAATTTGTTGCTGTGTATCTTTAAGTCATTTCCAAATTATGGTACCCCATGAGATTTGCTTGGCTAGATCTTTTAAAAGGAAATTTGATTTTGCAAATTCCCTTTGGAATTTGAGGCTCAGAAATGTGACTATTCCAGTTGATTTCCTCGGCTAAGCAGGGATTTGAATCCTGGCCTTCAGAGTCATAGTCCAACACCAAAACCACTGCACTATGCTGGCTCATTTTAGCAGTAGCCAGTAAACCGATCACCCCTATAGTAATACTTCCCTTCACTATAACATGCTCTTGAATTATGATTTTTACATAAGACATATAGCCTATGTGTTATTTTACAATAAATGCTGCATATATACTAAGTACAAACATATGTAGTTAGCACATACTTATGAAACGTATAGAGAGTGTATTTTTTGGTCTGGATTGAAGAGGAGATCTGAATGACCAGATGAATGGAGATAACCCTGACTCAAGTCAAATATACAATAGCCAAAATGAATCCTTAAACACCAAATGGAATTCATAGAATCATAGAATCATAGAATCAAAGAGTTGGAAGAGACCTCATGGGCCATCCAGTCCAACCCCCTGCCAAGAAGCAGGAAAATTGCATTCAAATCACCCGACAGATGGCCATCCAGCCTCTGTTTAAAAGCTTCCAAAGAAGGAGCCTCCACCACACTCCGAGGGCAGAGAGTTCCACTGCTGAACGGCTCTCACAGTCAGGAAGTTCTTCCTATGTTCAGATGGAATCTCCTTTCTTGTAGTTTGAAGCCATTGTTCTGCGTCCTAGTCTCCAGGGAAGCAGTAAACAAGCTTGCTCCCTCCTCCTATGACTTCCTCTCACATATTTATACATGGCTATCATATCTCCTCTCAGCCTTCTCTTCTTCAGGCTAAACATGCCCAGCTCCTTAAGCCGCTCCTCATAGGGCTTGTTCTCCAGACCCTTGATCATTTTAGTCGCCCTCCTCTGGACACATTCAGCTTGTCAATATCTCTCTTGAATTGTGGTGCCCAGAATTGGACACAATATTCCAGATGTGGTCTAACCAAAGCAGAATAGAGGGGTAGCATTACTTCCTTAGATCTAGACACTATGCTCCTATTGATGCATGCCAAAATCCCATTGGCTTTTTTTGCCGCCACATCACATTATTGACTCATGTTTAACTTGTTGTCCATGAGGACTCCAAGATCTTTTTCACTCGTACTGCTCTCGAGCCAGGCGTCCCCCATTCCAATCTATTTTTCCAGAAACTGCAGTCAGCAATGTGATTCCCGTAATGTTGGTTCTGCCTGGAACACAGGAACTGAAATGAATGGAACTTGCTAGTCACAAAAAAAGATAATTCTTTTTTATTTCAGTGAGTTGAATTTAGACCCAAGACTGCACTGTCTTAAAAAATTCCCAGAGGAAGTTTGATAGATTTTTCCCCTTGCAATCTATCATTATCCACATTCAAAATTGACACTATTAACCAAGCCGGTTTCAAAAGGCCTATTCTTCCACTGGCACACACAGTATATTTACATGGGATGGACCTGAGAGAAAAACAATCCATCCTAAGTCCAACTGTGCAGGTGGAGCACCACAATATCAGCAAAGTACCAGAGCAACAGCAAAACTCTATAAGAGGGTTGTGGCATGAGCTGCAGTAAGTCCAGTCTTAACTGACAGCTCAGTCCTGTCACTGGCAGTAATGTACACATATCCAATGTGACACTGTAGTTCATTCAGAGCTTCTGCACCTCCATCACAAAAGTAATGGAAACAGACTTAATTCTAATCCTCTATGTACAGAATTACAGCACAGTAAAAGAAAAATAAAAGCCTCCGACAAGAAAAAGTATTCAGATACCAAAATACATGCTACAAGGCTGAATCTTCCTGATCCAATATCTAGAGTGCCAAGAACATACTGCTTGTATGTAGATGGAGCAACTAAAGTTTCATAACCCAATAAAAAGCAATGAAGTATGAAGATAAAAAGAAGAGTCAGATAAAAAAGAAGTAATGCAATCCCTTGCAGACTTATTTTAGCAAGACGTTTCATGGATTACAACCCACATCCTCAGATGCATTGATAACCTGTCATATTCAAGCCTTGGTATATACCGTATTTACTTGAGTATAATGCACCATTGATTATAATGTGCACCTCAATTTCAAAGGTGTGCATTACAAAAAAAAAAAAGATTTGTTGTTGAATGTAATGCATGCCTTCCCCTTGCTTGCCAGCCATTCTACTGCCTGCCTCAGAACAGCCGACAGGCAATGGGAAGCCATGTCGCTCCATCAGGGTGAGGCTGGCAAACTCACTAGTCTTCGCCTTGTGGTAGTTTCCCAACTAAGCCTTCATTCATAAACTTCAAAAATGAGGGGGGGGGGGGTGAAATTGGAAAGCCATGCCCCTCCATTTGGCTGAAGCTAGTGACTTTGCCACCCTTATACTGTTGGGGGGGGGGTTGCAGGTGGTTTACATACATGATTCTAACGAGCTATCAAATCTAATGAGCACTTCACTTTTGGCTATGGAATTTATCCAAAAGAAGTGAGCATTATATTCAAGTAAATATGGTATATGTACTCTTCCATAGTTATGCATGAGATTAATAATTTGAAGCTTCAATATTGTTCTCCATCCAAGTAAATTGCTATTCATGAAAGCCTTTAAAGGTGCCATTTTTGTAATCCTCCCCCTAGCCTTTATACCAAAATACTGTAGTCTGAAAGCGTTCCCAATAAAATATAATGAGCAACACTTGTCTTTTCTGAATCCTTTCAGATTGCTGCTTCAGGACCCAGATCACAAATTCAGCAAGTGCTTCAACCATATATCATAACTCAGGCTGAAAACACAAGGTGCCTCTCGCTGATAAGCAAGGCAGAAGGGTCATCAAGGAGAAGGAGATCGTGACTCAATCAGCCAACCAATTCTTTTATTTATATCTTACCTTTCCCCCAAGTGTGGGACTTAAGCCAGTTTACAGAATAAAAAGAAATGCCACTAAAGCCACTTAGAGCTAAAAACATACAACAAAATTAAAATAATATTAAACTGCACATAGAATTTAAACCTTATGAAACATTGATTGAGAAGCATAGATTAAAAGTAGTGCAGCATGAAACAGAAATCCTATTATATAAAACTACCAGTTGCAAAATACCTGCTGTTTTTATTTGGCAATGAAAAGACAGTAAGGAGAAAGCAACATTTGAGAAATCCTGGAGGAGAGTTGTGCTGATACCCTCGACTACCAAAAAAGATAAATAAATGGGTCCTTGAGCAAATCAGGCTCAGCTCTCCTTCAAAGCCAAGATAAATGATAAAAGGAGATTGGAAGTACTTGCAAGTATATATAACACATTGTAATTTTCATTTTCTTAACACACACATCTGCAACCAAGATCCTCATGAAAACAGATAAAAGTATTTGAACATATCCAACCTATACTTTTAGAAATGAGAGTTGTAATAAATGTGGATTTTCACTTATACTACTAAACGGATATTTTATTATTGGGAAGATGAAACCACAAGTTGTGCATGAAAGGCAGAGGAAATTGGCAGTGGTGCCTGCTTTGATCAATCTGCTCAGAATTGTAAAGGAGGCATCCGCTAAGCTTATATTGGAGATAGGACTAAGCACACTGGGTAATTCCTTTGCCGTTCATACAAAAACCCAGAATGAAATTGTTGCCCTCATGGTATTGCTGGACATGTAATGGTTAGGAGTATAAGGACCAGTGTTGT